GGGGGGGGGGGGGGGGGGGGGGGAGGGGGTAGCACTTGCCCTCCCTGCTGTGTACAGCCCTGTTTTAAATCTTATCTGCTATTATAATAAGTGATGAAATATTTCAATTGTCCCATGCCACCTTCATTATTCAGTTCCTTTCAAGAAAATACAAAATGTGAATCACGTTTTTTCGCAGATACATGTACGCGTCCCGTACCTATTTTTCTTTATGTTGAGCCAAGCAATCTTTTCTAGTTTTCGGTTTAACTTCATCCATCAAATTCGCCTCAATGACAGGTTCTTGCTTTGGAACCATTTTAAAGGTGTTTGAGACAACAAATTCACTCATTTTGTAACGATTGTGTATTTGTGCAGTAGCGACAGCCAGCGAGAGAAAGGGGATAACTCAGACCACACAGAAATGTTGTTATCCAAAACCGCTGACATGCGCATAGTCATAGAGGAATACTGAGGTATACTGAAGTATTGAGATTGCTACACTGGTGGTATGTACCACAGTATATTAGATTTACCAATAATTTTGAAAAATTTACATTCCTGAATAATAAAAATGTTAATTTTTTCTGTGTTGGTGTTGTGTACTCAAGTGAATAATATGTTTGCGATGTTACTCTGAGTGCATATCCACACTGGGCGAGCTTGAACAATATGCCCGGCCACGGTGGGATTCGAACCTACGACCTTTGGAATACTAGCCCAATGCTCTTCCAACTGAGCTACGGCGGTCAGGACGGTTCGAGTAAGTGATATTTCGGAACAGTATCTAGTTCCTTCAATACCAATGTGTTCTAGTAATATGAATTTTTTCTGTGTTGGTGTTGTGTACCAGGTGAATAATATGTTTGCCATGTTACTCTGAGTGCATATCCACACCGGGCAAGCTTGAAAAATATGCCCGGCCACGGTGGGATTCGAACCTACGACCTTGGGAATACTAGCCCAATGCTCTTCCAACTGAGCTACGCGGTCAGGACGGTTCGAGTAAGTGATATTTCGGAACAGTATCTAGTTCCTTCAATACCAATATGTTCTAGTAATATGAATTTTTTTTTTCTGTGTTGCTGTTGTGTACTCAGGTGAATAATATGTTTGCGCTGTTACTCTGAGTGT